CCAACACCTCAATTCATCCTGGAACAAACCACTCTAGTTCCCTTTCCCCTCTCTTTAAACCAGCCTTCTTCTGATTGGCTGGCCCTTGCAACCAAAGGGTTTAAACAGCCCGAGCTGTGTACCTGAGGTGTGTCATATTTGCACCACTGTACAAAGCCAAGAGTAGAAAAAACATTCCATAAAAATTGGTGGAGCCCTTTGAAATCTGACCTTCTGACTCCTGGTTTACTTGTACATGCTCCGATCGCTGTTCGAAACTGTGTCCATATTTAATATGAGCATCCACAAAAAACACTAAATGTACATATATGGCATAAAATAAGGAAAAGCAAAATCAGTCCCCTTTAGTTTTCACGGCACCTGGTTATATTAAATTCCTACGTCTCATATTGTTGACAGAAAGCTCAGTTTTAACATCAGGTAATAATACCGTGATTTAATGTTAGATAGTCAAGTTACTGCCACATGTTCGGTCTCTGGGGACGGGAAAACACAGTCCTTCATGTAACGCTCTTCACAATGTGGACGCTGTTCCTCACAATGTACTGCTCTCCAGCTTCAGATCAACCTTCATTTTCTGTTTCTCCATGACTGCCTCCAGCTCTGTGGCCCTTCTGGCATCCTGTAAAAAGTAGAAATCAATTTAGACTGTGTAGCAATGAGATGAAAAGCATCAGCTAATTTAAACCTCATGCTACTGAGTTCAGGTCATTCCATCTCAAATTACCGTGAGCCTTCTGCTCAACACTGAAGGTTTTTGTGAAATCCATATACGTAGAATACATTTCAAGATGTTTTTTAATGGCCTGTCAGCACGTTTCCAGCATGTTTCTTTCACACAAAATACGGGACGAAGTTTGGACATCACAAAAACTAGAGATAAAAGCCGATAAAAGCCTAAAAAATGATGCTGGCCTTTCTTACCAAAATAATCCAAATACCAATGTAAAATTTCTCACACACACAAATGCATTTTTAATGTCTCTTAATCTTTTCCTGAATTATAAGACTCTTCCAGGGTAATCTGGATGGCATGTG